AAAAATAATGCTAGTTCCATGTTCTTTCATCTCACATCAAATTCTAGCTCACTGCCATTTCCCAGAGGTCAATGATGTAACCCACAGCCTGTGAGCGAATCACTGCCACTGCCAAGAGTGTATTACAGTCAAATTCTGGATGTTTCCAATAAGCTAATCATTTTGTTATGGTCAATAACTAATAAATGGTTGATATTAAAATTTCAAACTGTTTTGTCTAAAAAACGTACAAATTAACACTAAAATGAATACTTTTAAATGAGTACTTATTTAAAATGTATTTAAAACTTTACTTGTGCATCACAAAATTATAATGTACAGTATGAATGCATTTTAATATTTGTTAAAAATTACATTTAACAGCATTACTGAATTATTAATGTTTTTAAAGAACAATTTAATATGAGAGTTAGATGAAGACAAAGACAATCTAAATGTAAAATAGGGGAAATTAGTACAAAATGTATCAAGGTTTCCACAAAAATATTAAGCAGCACAACTGTTTTCACATTGATAATAATGAGAAATATTTCTTGAGCAGCAAATTGTCCCGTGTATGTTCCCGTTGAGTTCCGGTTTTCCTTATTTGGTCCTTCCTGTTCCTGTCCCATGTAGTTTGATTAGTTCCAGGTGTCTCCCATTATTAGTTATCCTCCTCACCTGTCTGCCCCTCGTTATCTGCCCTATTTAGTTCCAACCCATGTTGAGTTTCTTTGTCTGGAATTGTTTGTGTCTACAGTGCTATGTGTGTTTTCCTGTTTCCTTTGGATTTATTAAAGACTTTGAATTTGACATTGCCTCTCCTCGTTCCTCGCTCTGTGCTCCTCACAGTGGCACCGCGTGACAGAATTCCAGACCCAACAAAGTAAAGCTGCGCCTTTTTCTCCCAGCGTTTATTTTCTGTTTTTTGAAAAGTGTTTAGTTTTTTCCCATTCGTTCCACGCGTTCCTCCACGTCCCCAAATTGAGGAACGCGTAAAGATCATCACGTTGGCTCAGGCGAGCCCAGACCCCATTGTTTTTGTTAGGGCGTTCATGCCGCTTACCCTCGCCAGCTACCTCAAGGGGGAAACCCTCGCAACGCTGTTCCGGATCGGGATAACATTCCATCATCCCACGGAGCTCCCAGACACCACCAACCTCGGCTGTAAGGAGGCAGTCATCCGGTGTCTGGAGAGCTTCCGATCCCGATCCGGGACCCATAAGCCGGCCGTTCCTCAGTCAAGCCCGCCAGACATTAATGTGGTAAATCCGCCGGACTATAATACGGCAAGCCGACTGAACATTAATATGGCAAGCCCGCCATGCGTTCAAGAGGCCCCAGTGTTGGCTCCAGCCCCAGAGCTTGCTCCAGTGTCTGCTCCAGCCCCTAAACTCACTCCAGTGCCAGCTCCTCGAAAGCGCTTTGCTGGGCCTGCTCCTCCAGAGCACCCTCCAGTGCCAGCACCACGTAAGCTCTACCCTGATTCCCAGTTCAGCCCAGGGTGGGCTCTTGTTCCCGAGTATAGCCCAGGGAGGGCTCCTGTTCCCGAGTATAGCCCAGGGAGGGCTCCTGTTCCCGAGTATAGCCCAGGGAGGGCTCCTGTTTCCAAGTTAAGCCCAGGGAGGGCTCCTGATCCCGAGTCAAGCCCAGGAAGTGCTCCTAATCCCCAGTTCAGCCCAGGAAGGGATCCTGTTCCCGAATATAGCCCACAATTTTAAACTGTTATATTATTTAATATTTGAACACTGTAATATTTGATCAAATAAATGCCGCTTTGGGATGTGCAAAAGGCTTCTTTTAAAAGCAATTTTACTGACCTTAAACTTTTGATAATATAAATATAATTTGTATAATAATATCTGATAATAGGGCTGGGACAATAAATCGATGCAGCGCGATTCGTGGATCGATTCTGAGATTTTTGGAATGCATCGTGATGGTCTCTCGAATAGTGTGACCAGTGTTCGAACTATACCGTGAACTTTGGGGGAGCCCACTTGTTTTTTTTTTTATGGGAGGGGGGGGGTTCGTGAGCTTGCACATGAATGAGGGCTTACAATGACTTACAAAGATACATAACAGCTACAAGTGTATGCACTATTTGCTTTATGCAAGCGCTATATAGGATACATCACTACACAGGATTACCCTATTATACTTTATCGACACGAATTGATAGGTGAAACAACAAATAGTCTATAAACAAAGCATCAGGCTGTCTTTGAGTTCACATGAACAACAGTTAAAGTTACTCGTCGTCAGGCTACAGAAGAATACCATAATTCCTCCGTTCAATTAGGCCTAAGACATTGAGAGTCACGCAGACCTATATAACAACCCAGCCACAACACATAATTGCGAATAACATGCTTTACCTTAACACAGAATCGACCACCGAGTCCAGCGTTTATATTTTTTCTACGGATCTTTGAGTTAACGTACTAAACATGAGTGGAATTTGCACCGCAGTGCCCCCACACCTTGATGCTCATGACAAGAATAGCATGTATAGTTATCTTTATTGAAGTGGATTCGGTTTAAATCGCCGTCATGCATGAATTAATTATATTTTTCAATTTAACACAATAATCCACAATGATCACATTACACAAAACTGAAATTGAACGTCAAAATAACACATTGTCAATTTTTTTGAGACCCCCCAAAATTTCACAAATCACGTTTTCAGGGGAGCCCATGTCTTATTAAGGGGAGCCGAGCTCCCCCTAGCTCCCCCGTAGTTCGCATCCTGAGTGTGACCATACGGGCCATTCTTACGGGACGCACCCTTGCCAAGATTTCTATATTGCCTAAAATATCCAGGTTTCGGCTGTTTGCACTGTGCAGATCGATTGTTGTATGACATTATTTCACGAGAGCTAGAGAGCAGAGCAGACGACTCCTTATGCTTTCAAATTGCTCTCGTGGTACTTTGGTGTCACACAACGATTAGTCTCAGCCTCAGACGTCACACCCACGGACCGTTGGCTGAACTTCTGATGCATACAGCACACAAAAGTGGAAACACTTCAGGAGTTTCGAAGTCGTCATCGGATTGGTTGAATTATACAGGATTTCCGGGAGACGTGTGTGTCGCGTTCTTTAACGTTCTGCCTGGAAACAAAGATGCCGTGACACCAAACTCCCTCACGAAAGAAGAAACCCGTCGTGTTTACAACTGTGACGATGAGCGCATATCAGGGTCAACTAAACGCTAGATATTCAAAAGTATGTGAAATATGTAAAGTTTGCGGCATGGAATCTTTAAAATACATATGAGTTTTACACACCGGTCTGTTTTTGTGGCGACATTTCCATGCCCCGAAACGTGACGCTGAACGAAACGAACTGTGATTGGTTGTTTGACATGTCAGTCAAACGGCCTCATGGGCTTGGCCTTGGCCAATGAAAGCTGCCATGGATTCCAGACCTTCAGCCGTCAGCCTGAAGGTCTGGCTATGCGAAACTACACAACGATCGGTGCCAGCTTTAAGTCGAACGAACGAACAAACATATGCGCGTATTTGCATTGCTTTGATCGTTCTCACCTTCTCACGTGCGACACACCACAATTGGTCGATTATGTACAATACCTCCATGTTATTGGTCAAACAACCTTATTTTTAGGCAATATAAAAATCATGGCCAGGACGTGTCCCATATAAATGGCACATATGGCCACCCTACTCTCGAATCGATTCTGAGCTTAGTTTTTAACAGCAGATGGCACTCTAGGCTAGTTTTTAACCACACACTCAAATGCTCACGAAGAAGAGTAATGTAAGTGGTTAAATGTACTTGCACATCGGCTTTTATGCTTTTATGATGCAAGATTAATACAGTCCACTGTGAACATCCTTGTAATTCGCTTCAAAATTTTCAAACTTTATGAAGGATTATTTTAGGTTCAAATGGTGCGTGTGTAAGGAACTGGAAGCAAGCAGAATACGGCTATTTCTACAGCACACAGTGCCATCTGCTGTTAAAAACTAAGCTCAGAATCGATTCAAGAAAGAATCAAATGCAGAATCATTTCTCGATTCGCGATGCATCGATTTATTGTCCCAGCCCTATAATATAAACATTTGTAACTTAATAGACTCTGCTTCCTTATTATGGAACATTTATATCTGGCCTGTTTTTGGTTAAGATCCTTTAATAATTTGCATTTCATCTCCACTTTTGCCTAAAAACTAGAAGTCTCTCTTCACCTGTTGCATTAACCACAAGCAGGCTTGATGAATGCACTAAAGCAATAGTGAAGAGTTAATTGGCTTGAAAGGGTACTCTGATAATGACTGGTTATTTCTGCTGCAGGCTAATTTAATTTATACTCCCTTTCACCTCTTTGGCCATATTTTGGAAAGAAGCAAATGACTATACATCAGTTGAACATCCATTTCGATTGGTCTGAACTGATGAGAGAAGCCTGTATGCTGTCAGCATGATTAGATAGATAAGAGTTATGCACATTAGTAGGTAAATTGATTAAACCAACAATTAGTTTGATCAAACCAGTTCTAACTTTCATACTAAATAAATTTTTGAGCCATTTCTGATGGATCACCACTGGCTGTGTAAGCATGAGTGGGACGTGCACATTAGTATTGTGAAAGCCGGCAACGCTCAGTAGCACCTGCCAAAGCAGCTACGACAAGAGCAACCAAACAACGTTCAGCTGGCAGATCCAAGTGTGTCACTGGAACAAACAGATTCTGTGTGTCATTCTACTGATGCCCTTCCTCTGATGAATGCACCGCATTAAACGGCCCCCTGAGGGAGTGGAAATTACAGGTACCTCGCATCTGCATGCCGGCCTACAGGCGCTTCTGATGCGAGCGTGTTAAACTGTACCTACAACATGTGGGCAAAAACAAAAGAGGGAGCGGACAAACTGAAGGCCATAACTCCCACGTCTGGTCGATAGATCTGTCTGGGCTGCATCATTGGCTGGCCATGTGACATTAACTGCAGGGTAATAGAAATGATCTAGTGAGATTCATCCCCCCTCAACCTACCTGCCACATTCAGGTAAATGGATGGGCTTGTCTTGTTTTCTCCATTCTTCTCATTAACAGCCTGTACGTAGTACCTCCCGGCATCCGCCGCAGCTGTGGCGAGCACCACTAGCTGGTTCTCCAACGTTATGGCTCTGTGGAGAGTAACAAAGCAAATGAAATACAGCTATGTTAAACCATTATTGACAATTAGTCTGGTACCCTAACAAATTCCACTATCGCAATAGAGTGACAGCATTTTAATTAGTGCTTAACTGATGTATATTGGGTTCCATAAAACTAGCTTTGCTGTGAACTCATTGTGCCCTGGGTTTGACTGGGATGCGTCTGGCGTGGAGGAATTTCATGGGGCTCTGAGCTTTTTCAATGTACCTGATCCCTCATTCTGACACAAGCTGAGAATCAATGAGCGGTAAAGGGTCATTACGGACAGGAATACCACTGTTGGTGGGAATAAACCTACAGGCGAGTATCTAAGTGAGGGAGCTGTTTGTTGAGACCCAGACTTGGGAAAAAGTGAACAAGGAACAGTTCACTGAAAAAGTCAATAGAATGCTCATAAAGATATTACAAAAACAGTTCATTTGGCATGAATCACAAACAAATGTTTTCAACTGTGATAATAATGAGAAATGTTTCAACAGAATCAAAGGATCATGTGACACTGAAGACTGGAGTAATGGCTCAGAAAATTCAACTGTGCCATCACTGGAGTGAATTACATTTTAAAATACATCAAAACAGAAAACAGTTGTTTAAATTGCAATAATAGTTCACAATATTACTGAATTTTTTATTAAAAAATTTTGAACAGTAGCACACACAGACACACACACACACACATACTGTATATGGAAAATATATAATATATAATTTATAATAATTGAAAAGATTATTTTGAGTTGCCTTTTTTCAAAGAGCAAATCATTTGAACCATTTCACAAAAAAACTCACTGGAAGTAAAAAAAGGTTTTAGTGTATTACCACATACATTTTGGACTTTCACAATACTTTTATAGAGATTCTGTGACCTTAAGAGATCCCTGAAAGCTCTTTGCCCCAATAATTACATATATAAAACAACAACCAGTATTTTCTTTTCTTTTGTGTTCCACAGAAAAAAGAAAGTCAAACAGGCTTTGAACAACACGAGGGTGAATAAAAGATGGTAAAAGATTTTATTTCTGCGTGAACTATACCTTTAATAAGGGTTTATCTTATTCAGACACTTGTAGACTGAAGTCAGAGCCGCTGCTATCGCGCTAATGATTAATAAGAACAAGTCATACTTCATCCATCAATCCAAAGTTTTTAGGAAAGACACTAAGTGGCAGATGTGTATCACTGTCAATTTATTCAGGTGTCAGTTTCCCTGTGCCTCTTTAAGGCAAAATTACCATCTCAAACCAGCCGAGAACATGGCGCTTTGATAACCCACGACTCCACGTAAGCTGGATGGAATTGTTTTCTTTTTATTGCCGTAGATGAAAGCAGGCACGGATTGCGTATCTCCAGCCCTGACTCCTACTCCTCATGCATAGTCTTTCTCCTCCCTCGTTTTTTGATTAATTGATGACATCCTCAATTACACATCACTGCTGTCTAAGAGATTTTCTGCTCAGGCGTGACCACCACGAAGAAGCCCTTGAAAGGCAGAGCACGACTCGGGGATGCTTTGAAACTTATGATTAGTTTTTCGGCTCCGCGGGACCTGTAGCGTCTTCCTACACGCCGCGAGTACAAGCGACGCAGTCATTACAAATTTACAAGACAGATCCCTACAAAAGATTGTCAAGTCGCAGAGACGTTTGCAAATAGGCAAATACAAAAAATAAATGCAGCAGAAGTAGGAACAAGAGGGCTGTCTGCGCTTCCGTGGCGGGCAATATTGACGTGTAATTAGAGCGAGCTTCAGTTCTGCTTAGTTCTCCGTTTGCCGTTTTATGATTAAGTGCAGATTAACATAAAGAGATCCATCAAAAGTTGGTGCTTGGGTGGGGAGGGGGTTCTGCGAGGGATGGAGATTGGTGGCCGCTGATGAGGATGCATTACATCGCTGTTTGCACCCTGACACCTGGCTGCGGATCCAGGCTGGGCTGCATCTGGGAAATAAAGGCACCCTTCACAGATGTCAGTGGCGGCTTTGAAAGGTCAGAGCGGCCCGCCTTGATGGACTTTTAATTATTAAATATGCATCGGCTGAAATGGCTTGGCAAGCATCAGAGGCTCCAAACCGATGTGTACATAAACAGCTCAACTTCATGATGATTTAAGGACCTAATAGCAGCATGTGTGATCTTGTGTAATGCTGCCAGCAGAGAGAGCGGGGGCCCGAGCGTTTACCTGGTTTATGCTGCGAGCTGAATCGATGCGACTTGTGTATAAAGTGATTTTATGATTAGTCCAGCTAGTTTGGATTCCATTACAATTGTCTAGATGAATGGCCCCTGCTCGTGGTTTGGTAAACAAAGCACAGTGGGAAAGATAATGGGAATACTTGTTTTTGATCCCTGAGGAGTCTTTGATATCAGCCCACAATGTATTAAAAATGCAGGTTGGGAGCCACGCGAAATGTTAATCCACTTAGGAAAGGTGCCGGGAAGCCCAGGTAATCTAAATATTCAAAGAGGACGACCGTTTCTATTTGTTGAAAAGGCTGTGCACCCGCCAGGCTAAAAAGCATCAATTTAACTGGCCAGCCATTTCCAATAAAGGAGAATCAAATCTAAAGATCAATTTGCTGAGATACGCTCTGACAATCACGCCGTAATATTTTTATCATCTCTATTTTGAAAACTAAAAGAAAAATGACTTTTTGGAGGGAAAAAAGTCATAGGCATAATTGAAGATGAATTACTTTCTGAGAGTTTTTGCATATTGTTTACCTGCTGTTTTAGTGTGTTCGCATTCAAAAGCCTCTGAATTGTAACAAAATGTGTGCACGTCGGAGAGGGTCCAGAACCTAATTCTCTTGGGCACTGGACAGACCGTTAGAGAGATATTACATTAATCAACATGGCAAGAACCAGCTTTCAGAAAGATGGTTTAGAGAATATATGTTTTCATTTACTGCCATAAATTACGCTCTTAAAATAGGCTTACCAGTCTGAGATGTATGACAAAGTAATTAAAATGTCAGCTACTCATATTGTGCTCCTAGTTCCTGGGAGCCCAGCTGCGTGGATCTGACGTTGCGTTTTGATTTATGATGCTCTCGGGCCTTGGAAAACTTTCTCTCACCCACATCTGAGGACAGAAAAGCTTACCGCATTGACGCCCAGGGAGCAGGCAGAGAGACACAAGCACCGCTGCCTTGAGGTCTCGTGACCCGGAATTATGTCGGAATCATGGAATATGCCGTCTGCGCAGTGTGTGCCTCTAAGTGATGCCGCAAAAGAAGAGATCAAAGTCTATCTGAAAGATAAAATATAGGCAAACTATCATGCCAGAAAATATGCTGTGGGTCTGAGCAAAAAAGACAAGTGCAAATGTCTGTTTATGTGAGACTACAAAGCAGTAAAAGAACTTGGGAAAGTAGCTTCAGGGCCATACAGGAGGCCACAGAGAGTGACACTGTCTGCTTTTCCCATTTAGCCCCAGGATCAAACAAATAAATGCTCAAAGTGAATGAAATCAGGTCATGGCAATTTTCTTGTTTCAGGCTCAGATGCCTAAGGTGGTCTGCAGGCATGAGTCAAGCCTTTTCCCCTGCCGTACTCTGAGCGGAGACACGCGTGTCTCAGAAACACGTACAAAGTACAGATTAAGTACAGCTTCTCTGAAAGCTGCTGAACCAGAAGCCCAGACCTCCCTGTGTGTTCTCTATGGAATTCAACCCAAACTAAAAGAGAGAACATCCCCAAATCTGCCTGTCCCTTCAACCTGACCCCTCACAACTAAACAGAACAGACTGCCTGCTTCCAAATTCTGTTGCCTACCAACTTTTATACTGTAGAAAGTGTTCAGTGTGAAGTTATAAAGTGAGAAATGAACAAAATGAGAATATAGGAGACATAAGGAGACGATGAGAAGTTAGTAGAAATACATCTGTTAGTAGAACAGATGTAAAGCAACATGATGAGATGAGAAGAGACAAGAAGAGACCAGAAGAAACAAGAAAAAAAACGAGGAGAACAGATGAGAAGAAGAGATGAGATAAGACAAAATAGAGGGGAGGGGACAAAATGAGAAAAAAAGATTAAAGAAGACAAGAAGAGAAGAGAAGAGACAGGAGGGGTGGACACAAAATGAGATGACAAAAGAGGGTAGAGCTGACACACAAAAACACCAGATCAGGAAAAAAAAGATGGGACAAAATAAACAAAACTTATTTTTTAGTATTTGATTATTTGAAAGGAAATGAGAAGAAGTGTTAAAAGACAAGGCGAGAAGAGAACATATGAGACGAGACAGAGACAGAGACAAGAAGTGCACTGATGTTTGTTCTCCTCTCTCTCTCCTGCATTGCTATGTATCACAGCACACTGAGACACTTTCACACAAACACGATGGAGCTGAGCCGGAGCCCAGATGATCAATGGTGTGAATGCAATGACAGCAGAAAATCTCTCTGCCAGACCATATCCAGGCCACAGTTCTAGAAGTTCTAGCGTCTGCTTTCTTAATATCCATTAAAAGCAACAGTCCGCTGCAGTCTCCTCTGTGATGAATGTGCTGGCCATTTGTAGGCTGAGATGTACAAGTGAAGATAAGCCTGCTGCCTCATCCATCCCTCAGCCCAACTCAACTCTATGACCACGGGAATCATGACTAATGGCCTATCAGAACCCAAACTCAACCGTCCCCGCTGGTCTGTGCTGTGTTGGCCAGAACCACAGAAAACTTGCATGGGGCTCCTGGAAACAAAATATATATTATCAATAGCAGTTCAATTCCAACTGTAGTAAAATTAACAACAAATCATAGTGCAGTTCAGTATGATTGCAGTTCAATTCTAAATCTATCTTTCTAACTGTCTACCAATCTATTGCTCTTTAAGAACTATAAACCTTCAAACTTTCAGGCTTTTTAAACTTTAAGCCAATTTTCGAAGTTTTTCTAAATATTCAAATTTGAAATACTATTCTGAATACTGTTTGATACCTCAGTTCAAATTAAACTGTAATTTAATCTC